TTTTAAACGTTTAAGTTTAACGTTAAGTTTAAGTTAACGTTAAGTTAACGTTAACGTTAACGTACGTTACGTTAGTTAGTACTATATAGTAGTTATATATATATATATATATATATATATATATATATATATATATATATATATATATATATATATATATATTACTTTTCATATTCTTTTTCATTATAGGCTATTACAAGGTATTGAATACAGTTCCCTGTGCTGTACAGTAGGCCCCTGCTGTTGATCTGTTTTATATATAGTAATTAGTATCTGCAAGTCTTGAACTCCCAATTTATCCCTTCACCCTGCCCTTTCTCCACTGGTAACCACAAGTTTGTTTTCTATGTCTGTGAGTCTATTTCTGTTTTGTAAATATGTTCATTTGTATTTTTTTTTAGATTCCACATATAAGTGATAGCATATGGTATTTTGCTTTCTCTTTCTGGCTTACTTAGTATAACGATCTCCAGGTCTATCCATGTTTCTGCAAATGGCATTATTTTATTCTTTTTTATGGCTGAGTAGTATTCCATTATGCATGTGTATATACCACATCTTCTTTATTCATTCATCTGTTGGTGGACATTTAGGTTGCCTCCCTGTCTTGGCTATTGTAAATAGTGCTGCTGTGAACATTGGGATGCATGTATCTTTTTGAATTAGAGTTTCCTCTGGATATAAGCCCAGGAGTGGGATTGCTGGATCATATGGTAGCTCTATTTTTATTTTTATTTTTTTAAAGAATTTCCATACTGTTTCCCATAATGGCTGCACCAAACTACATTCCCACGAGCAGTGTAGGAGGGTTCTCTTTTTCCACACCCTCTCCAGCATCTGTCATTTGTGGACTTTTTAACGGTGGTCATTCTGACTGGTGTAAGGTGATACCCCATTGTAGTTTTGATTTGCATTTCTCTAATAGCAATGTCAAGCAGTTTTTATGTGCCTATTGACCATTTGTATGTCTTCATTGGAGAAATGTTTATTTTTTGATTGAGTTGTTTTTTTGTTATTGAGTTGTATGAGCTGTTTGTATATTCAGAAATTAAGTATTTATCAGTCACATCATTTGCAAATATTTTCTCCAATTCCATAGCTTGTCTTTTCATTTTACTTATAGTTTCCTTTGCTGTGCAAAATCTTGTAAATTTAATTAGATCGCATTTATTTATTTTCACTTTTATTTCTATTGACTTAATAGACTGCCCTAGAAAAACATTGCTAGGGTTTATGTCAGAGAATGTTTTGCCTATGTTCTCGTCTAGAAAGTTTATGTCTTATCTTACACTTAAGTCTTTAAGCCACTTTGAGTTTATTTTTGTGTATGGTGTGAGGGAGTGTTCTGACTTCATTTATTTTACATGTGGCTGTCCAACTTTCCCAACACCACTTGCTGAAGAGGCTGTTTTTTCTCCATTGTGTATTCTTGCTTTCTTTGTCAAAGATTAGTTGACCATAGGTATGTGGGTTTGTTCCTGGGCTCTCTGTTCTGTTCTATTGATCCATATGTCTGGTTTTGTACCAATACCATGCTGTTTTGATCACTGTAGCTCTGTAATATTGTCTGAACTCTGGGAGGGTTACTCCATCAGCTTCGTTCTTTTTCTTTAGTATTGCTTTGGCTATTCTGGGTCTTTTGTGATTCCATATAAGTTTTAGGACTATTTGTTCTAGTTCTGTGAAAAATGTCATGGGTAATTTTATAGGGATTGCATTAAATCTGTAGATTGCTTTGGGTAGTATGGCCATTTTAACAATATTAATTATTCCAATCCAATTGCATGGGATATCTTTCCAAAGAAATAATAATTTTATAGGTAAGATGTACATACATTTACATTGTAAAATTTCAGACAATACAGAAAATAGCAAAATACAGAAAAAGTGAAAACTCTGTGACATTTCTCCCAATGAATCCCAGAATCTTCTACCCAAAAGTAGCAATAGATATCAATTTAATATATATGTTTTTTTCTATGCATTTATATGCATATATAAACACATAGGTACCATTTACACAAATGATATCATGGTCTACATGATGTCCTGAAACTGAATGGGTATTCAGTAAATAAAATGTATTAGAGACATTTCCAGGTCAGAACATATGGCTCTCTTTTTTTAAACTGTTGCATATAATCTACTGTGCAAATGTGTTAGCTATTCCACAATTGATGGACATTTAGATTGTTTCCAGTTTTTTACTATTACAAATAATGCTATAAGAAACATCCTTATCCATGCCTCTTTGAGCAAATGTGCAAGTTTTTATCCATGGTAGCTGCCAAGAAGTGGGATCATAAGGGA